GATCCTTAGGTTTTCTTAAAGGCCTAGAGATCTCGACCAGGATCCCTCTGTGTTACAAAAGACTGATTTTTTCACCTTATGCCAATCTATGAAGTGCAAAGGATACATTCCCTCAGTTGGGTTATGGCAAATCATTTTTTGCACTTCACACTGGTAGCGTTAATGTTTATTTCCTAATTGTATTATATTTGTTTTAACTGTTTGCCAGGGTACAAAGCTGGCATATGCCTGACTACATTATAAATTTTACAAAGCTGTTAGCATTCTGTAACGAATCAAAATGCACTCTTCACTGATCTTTTATCACCAAAGGCCCCAGTCATCCATTCAAGACTGAAACTGGCAGACTATTTAGTGTGCCCTAAGTATAACTTTGAGCCAGCAGGAGCTAGAGATTTCTGTAATTATGCTCCCTGATTGTTGAATCTGCTCCCTATTGAGACTGGAAGAGCAGCATCTGTTGTGACATTTAGACTAAAATTAAAGAGGTGCACAAGTTTGCTGAAGCATTTAACTAAAGGGAATTGTTGTAATTCTTTTTTCAAAAACAGAAAAATGAAGTTTCAAAAGAGAATATTGGGGAGTTAGAGTTCATTTTGTTAATTTATTAATTATTATGTTATATATTTCCAGTGGTGTACTAGGAGAGAAAAAGGATTCACCAAAATAGCCTGTCCCATAGAATGTATGTGGTAGAAATATTTTTTAAAAGATTAACGGGGCCATGGGAAGAATGGCTCCAATTGCACCCTTATTAGCTAAGGATTCTCCCCTTTCTAATTTATATCAGTTGTGTGTATGCAGATAAGGGCTATTTTTGCCCCTAAGAAGTGTAAAATATGAAATTGTATTTGGTTATATCTTTAAAAACTAAGACAAAATCTCACTGAATTTTATCGCATTAAATTAGAAAGGGAGTTTTTTTCCAGTTACCCAGGTCACTTGGTCTATATACCACAAATTCATATTATTGTGACCTTTTTGCTACATTCTCACTTTTGAACAATCAGTCTTATAGCAAGTGCACATGCTTTCAGCAAGCAATTTGCTCATGTGGTGTTTAGTTTATATTAGGTCACAAAGGTCTCCCAGGAGAAAATTTTTACATCATTGGGACAGGCTATATTTGAGAACTATCGTTGTTCTTATTTTTCCCTTAGCGGAATTTCCATACAAAATTAAACAGATCTCAGATGTCTTCTTCAGAATTCTAACATCAGCCTGTCTTCACTACACACCCCTAACTTTAAATCTCCACAGCCTAACTTTTTATTCAGCTTGATATCCAAAAAGAGTGTACTACTGCTGTACAGTGTCTTACTAGTAAAAAAAAAAAGAAGAGTTTGAAGAACAGCTAGCCAAAAACTTAAAAGGTAATAACAAAATGTTTTTTAAGTACATCAGAAGCAGGAAGCCTGCTAAACAATCAGTGGGGCCCCTGGACAATCGAGATACAAAAGGAGTACTTAAAGGTGATAAAGTCGTTGTGGAGAAACTAAATTAATTCTTTGCTTCAGTCTTCATGGCTGAGGATGTTAGGGAGATTCCCAAACCTGAGCTGTCCTTAGGTAACAAACCTGAGCTGTCCTTAGGTAACAAATCTGAGGAATTGTCACAGACTGAAGTGTCGTTAGAGGAGGTTTTGGAATTAATTGATAAACTTAAGAGTAACAAGTCACCGGGACCAGATGGCATTCACCCAAGAGTTCTGAAAGAACTAAAATGTGAAATTGCCGAACTATTAACTATGGTTTGTAACCTGTCCTTTAAATCAGCTTCTGTACCCAATGGTTGGAAGATAGTTAATGTAACACCAATATTTTAAAAGGGCTCTAGAGGTGATCCCGGCAATCACAGACCGGTAAGTCTAACGTCAGTACCGGGCAAATTAGTTGAAACAACAGTAAAGAATAAAATTGTCAGACACATAGAAGAACATAAATTGTTGCACAAAAGTCAACATGGTTTCTGTAAAGGGAAACCATGTCTTACTAATCTATTAGAGCTCTTTGAAGGGGTCAACAAACATGTGGACAATGGGGATCCAGTGACGTAGTGTATTTAGATTTCCAGAAAGCCTATGACAAGGTCCCTCACCAAAGGCTCTTATGTAAATTAAATTGTCATGGGATAAGAGGGAAGATCCTTTCATGAACTGAGAACTGGTTAAAAGACAGGGAACAAAGGGTAGGAATAAATGATAAATTTTCAGAAAGGAGAGGGGTAACTAGTGGTGTTCTTCAAGTGTCAGTCCTAGGAGCAATCCTATTCAACTTATTCATAAATGATCTGGAGAAAGGGGTAAACAGTGAGGTTGCAAAGTTTGCAGATGATACTAAACTGCTCAAGTTAGTTAAGACCAAAGCAGACTGTGAAGAACTTCAAAAAGATCTCACAAAAAACTAAGTGATTGGGGAACAAAATGGCAAATGAAATGTAATGTGGATAAATCTAAAGTAATGCACATTGGAAAAAAATAACCCCAACTATACATAAAATATGATGGGGGCTCTTTTAGTTCAACTAATCAGGAAAGAGATCTTGGAATCATCGTGGACAGTTCTCTGAAGATGTCCCACAGTGCCCCACACTGACAGTTAAAGCAGTGCAAGTGCTTCCAGTGAGGATGCGCACCACCAACGCAAGGAGCATGGTGTGGACATGCAAAAGCTATTTAATTAGTGTGGTAGCTGTATGTTGACGTAACACAGGTTGACATAATTTTATAGTGTAGACATACCCTTAGCTTATGAGACCTGACACGATTACAGTCCTAAGTGTCTAATGGGAGGCAAAGAATGTCTTTTTGACAACTGTCAATCATATGTAGCTCAACATTTTTCTCTTATCTGGGGCTAATTGAATTCCTAAGAAAACTGAAAATACCTTCAAAAATTCTTCCTTTTTTCCATCAGAAATAAAGAGATTCTCTTTTTTTTTAAATACTCCTTCACAGTCTATTTAAATCCTAAGTTTTACCTGTACACCTTGCTAATTTTTGAAGCTCTTATTGTAGATGGGCTCGGGGGGGAGAAGGGGGAGATATCAGAACAAATAAACATTTCAGTATCATGGTTTAAAAGGTTACTCCCATCATAGTCCATAGCAACTGCAGTTCCTGTTGGGTGGTGGAGTCCCCTCCCACCACCACCACTGCAAAAGAAGTTAAAGAACTTACATGTTCAACAAGAAAAGTTCCTCCATCTAATGACAACTGTATAATGTGTACACTGGAGGCTGTTGAATACCAGAACCCCCCCCCCCCCAAAAAAAAAAATGTTTGGAGAAGTTTCTTCAATGTGGAAAAAATGAGCACAGCAAGAAGTTGCTTACCTGAATGATTTCAAAGGGATTCTGAGATTTAACAACATAGCTGGTGTGAAAAAGTTGTGGGGTAATTCAGCTGTGGGGTTCTATTTTGTGTGTGTATGATAATGGATGAGTAGTACTGTTTCAAATGTCCGTAGTTTAGGAATATAATAAATCTTTGTTTTAAATGTGCTCTGTCCAGCAATATTCGTCAATGCCAATGGTGCAGGGCTCAGTCTGAAATACCTACTGGTATACAGTAAGATGACAGAAAAGCTTATAAACCCTCCACTTCTCAGAAAGAGACATGGAGCCAAATTCTCTGCTGTGAGTGAAATTCTATTGAAGTCAATACTGCTGTACTTATTTACAGCAGCAGAGAATTTGACCTTCTGTGGATAAGAAAAGTAAGGTGCAGCCTAGAAATTGGACTTTCACCATCCTATATTGTGGTTATGTATAATTTGACTTACCATTTAAAGGACTGGTGGCGGGGCGGGGGAGGGAGAGATTGAGCAGCAGCATTTATTGGGCCCTTACCAACTCTAGGTGATACAGAGGATTAGTTTTCAGGGGCTCAACCATACATTTTCTTCTGTTTCAATCCATTTGGTTTTCCAACCTCTACACATTTCTCTGCAAGTTTCTGGTTCAAACAAACCTTAGATCTAAAAAAAAATACCCTCATCTGAAACTGTAGAATTTAGCTGCGTGTTGCAGAGAAACCATATGAAATAAATTCCAACATGAAAATATACACTGGTTGACATTCACTCAAAACTGAGTCTAGGTTCACTTGAAAGGTTCATAAATCTTAAAGAATCTTTTGATTAACACAATGTGAATTTCAAGTTTGCTGTGCAACCAGAGAAGGTATGCATAATTTTAGGTTTCTCATTAACTCTTTTTTTAAGCACAACTCTAGTCCATGACAAGTGTCACTAAAAAAAAGTTGAGAAGAGGAAAATAAGGAATCTCTACTTTCTCTACATTTTTGGGCTATAAAGATAATGAGTTCCAGGTGGTAGGATTAATTTAGCTGATAAAGGTAATCCCAATTTAAGACAAGACCAGCCTAAACAAGTAATTGCTGAAACAGCTAACTGTTGTGAATATGTTTATAATAAATAAGGGAGGCAGAAACTAATTATTGTGGGAATGTTTGTAGTAAACAAAAAGAAAAGGAGTACTTGTGGCACCTTAGAGACTAACCAATTTATTTGAGCATAAGCTTTTGTGAGCTACAGCTCACTTCATCGGATGCATACTGTGGAAAGTGTAGAAGATCTCTTTATACACACAAAGCATGAAAAAATACCTCCCCCCACCTCACTCTCCTGCTGGTAATAGCTGATCTAAAGTGATCGCTCTCCTTACAATGTGTATGATAATCAAGGTGGGCCATTTCCAGCACAAATCCAGGGTTTAACAAGAACGTCTTGGGGGGGGGGGACAGGAAAAAACAAGGGGAAATAGGTTACCTTGCATAATGACTTAGCCACTACAGATCTGCACTCTAACTTCAGTGCTATAGGAGTTTATCATGTTGCCCTTGGTTTCATATTTCCGCTGTCTAGCTCATGTTTAGTACATTTCAATTTATTTTAAACATCTGCCACATTTCGGAAATATTTAATAGGAAAACATAGCTAGGACCTCTGCATAGAAATGTGAAATCCCACAAAACTCACCTGAACTAGGATTCTCACATCATCCACTGCAACCCTCTGTTCTACATTACCAGAAGAAGTCTGGGAGAAAACCAGCTGGGTACTCTATTGAAAAGAAATTAACTTTCAGATTAATCAAGAGGCAAAGCACAAACTTGAAGGTTCCTATTTCATTCATACCCCAGGAGTCTAGTCAAAAGATAACTCAAGAGATGTATAGGAGCATTTGGATTTCTAAGTACAAACAATTCACTGTCACTTACTGCGCCTTGTTCGCATGTTTTTTTTTCCATCCCCTCCCATGAAATTAAGGGGTAGAACAATTTTATTGCACCTCAGGCTGTGTCATTAGATCTTACAAGTTAAGCAGCTAGTTACCATTTGAAAGGCAGATTTCCAAGAAAAAACTTAGGAGTTGTAGGAAGTGATGGTAGCAATTCAGCAGGTGGCACTTCTTCCTTCTAGTTTGGAGCCAATATCCCTGTATAGTGAGGTAAGATTGCACTGTTGAAGTTGAAATTTTAGGAATAAGTAGAAGAACTGAAGTTCTAATCATTCAGATCCCAAAGGCCCATGGAACTTTCCAGTATGAATATTAAGTCTGGTGCCCTGGTGTAATTCCAGCCTCGATAATGCCTACCTGAAAAAAATCTGCTTAGAGTTTCTAGTGAATACTGTATTCTTCACTTTCTCTTCTAAACTGAAGCTTCAGCCTGCAAACTCGTAGTCACAAAAGTAGCCCTGTTGACTTAAATAGACTAGTGATGTGAGGATTGTGTGTAAAATTAGGATCTTGTTGTGTAATGTTTATTAAACATTTCCAGCATTTCACTGGAGGTTAAAATGATTTCTGTAAATACAATCTCTAATGTGCTTTGGGATGAAAGAAGCTATAAAAATGTTACTTTGATTATAAATAGTTTTGATTTAAAAACCTGAACAATCATCTTGCTCTATAATCCCTTCAAAGGATCCGAGGAAAGGTTTGTTTGTTTGTTTGTTTGTTTGTTTGTTTGTTTAAAAAAAACCAATGAGAAACAAATGAAGCACTCATGCACCAATAATTTTTTTTCCTCCCTGAACTCCAGCCATGGCACAGTACCTTAGTCAAAAGAAAGAGGGACAGAAGGTAAAGACTTGCATTACTGATCACCTTTGATCTTAGATTTTAACTATACCATCTCTGTTGTAGGACTAAAATATTTCAGAATATACTCATACAACCCAGTGCATTGGTTTCCAGTTATATTCTTTTTTTTTTCCATGTTGGATTTGGAGTTGTACAGACAACCCTCTTGGTTAATATCTTACTGTAGCAAACCTAGCCCCATAGGGGAGTTCAGCCTAACCTTTCAGAACTTCCTTTAGATCCTGCCCCTCACTGTCAAATATTCTGGCATCATCTATTGGTTTTTCATTCCCTTTCATGTCTCTTCTTTTTAATGTTTTTTTCTTCTTATATATTTTCTTTTTCTCTTCCCCTGCTGTTCTTATTATCTCTAGTCCCACAGGTTCCCAGCTATAGTTTTCTTTGTTTCCTTGTTTGACTGGTAGCTGTTTTGACTGAGGCCAAGTATCTGTAGGCTTCTCTTTCAGAATTTGCTTCCCCTCTAATCAATGCCTTTCTTTTTTAAAACTAAGGTGCTCTCCAGATTGTTCTGTAGGCTCTTTTACTTTATTGTGGCCAGACAGCTGAGTCTTCTTCCATTTTCCCTGTTGATCTATGGTCCTGCTCTATCATTCCAGAGAGGATTTCACAGATTCAGAAAGGCAGAGAAACCAAAGGTTTTAAATGCACAGTAGACGGGGAAAGAATCATGGAATTAATAAGTGTGACGGGGCAAGGCCAGACGGCTATAGAAAAGTAGTGGGAGATAGATATATTAGCTCCAGGCTAAACAAATCCCTGGTACCAGGTTAAGTGAAATGGAAGCTGCTCCAGGTCAATTAAGACACCTGGGGCCAATTAAGAAGTTTCCAGAAGGCAGGGAGAATGCTAGGTTGATTGGGACACCTGAAGCCAATCAGGGGCTGGCTGAAACTAGTTAAGAGCCTCCCAGTCAGTCAGGTGGGTGGGCCTGTCAGGAGCTGTGGGAGGAAGTTGTGTTTTGGAGAGGCTGAGTAGTACACACTGTATCAGGCACAAGGAAGGAGGCCCTGAGGTAAGGGTGAAGTGGAGCTTGAGGAAGTGAGGGCTGCTGTGGGGGAAGTAGCTCAGGGAATTGTACGTGTCATGTTTCTAAAAGGTCAGCTACCATAGCTGATACTATTAGGGTCCCTGGGCTGGAGCCTGGAGTAGAGGGTGGGCCTGGGCTCTCCCCCACACACCTTTGCCCCCTGATTAATCACTGAGACTGGGAGACAACAGAGACTGTGCAAGGAAGGATGACTTCTCCTCACTCCCTTGCTGGCTAATGATGAAAATGGCTCAGTAGATTATGACCCTTGTCTCTAGAGAAAGAAGGGTTATGTGGAGGGTCACAGTGAGCCTCTGAGGCTAGTGAAATTCGCCAGGAAATGTGGGACCCATGGAGGCAAGGACAGAGCTTTGTCACATAAGTTATTCTAGGTTAACCAACTACAGGTCATGTCATTTTGCATCAAGCAAATATCTTAAGGAACTAGGTTGATGTGGGAGGTTGTTATAGTTACATGTAATGTTTTCATTAACACACACATTTTCATTAGTCCTAATACATTATATGTGGGATTGGCACTCAAAGTCCTGCTGCAGTAACTCTGCTGAAAACAATTGTTTCACTTTGTTTCATTCATTACTGTATCTTATTAAAAAAGGCATCCAGTATTCTGGGGACATGTAAACTTCATAAAAACTAAACAATCATTAGGACAAGTGACCAAGCAATTGTCCTTCAAAGGACAGATTTCTTTAAATCAGAATTACCCCAGCCCTAACAACCTACTCATTCCTCTTCTCACCACAAGTAAAGTCAGGTAAACCAAATGGGCCTTACAGCTTGATTTGCATGTCAACAGCTTGCTGACAAAGGAAGCAAGAGTCTCACATTGAGAATAGCCTGACTCCAGCCCTTTTAATAGCTAAACCAGGGAGCTATTCTCTTCAGAAAAAATCCTATAGAATATAACAAAAAAAAAATGGTATCCCTGCTATAGAATTCTTTAGGATGGCTAAAACGATAGAAATATCACTTCTCGTAAATGTTATAGCTTTATATTGTGTAATTTCTATAGACTCATTCAAACCCTATTGAACTAAACTTCATTCAAACCCTATTGGTTTTATCACTATTAAATTCTGTAGCACTTTTCCAGTATGTTTAACTCTAGCACTTCAAATAACCACAACTGCCTGGGGAAAGAGGCAGTCTTTGAAGTAACAGGACCTAACCCATTTAAGAACTGATAGCTTAGTATCAGCACCTTAAATTGCACTTGAAAATTAACTGGAAGCCAGATATAATGTGCTCTGTATGAGAAACACCTTTTAACAATAGGTTGCTCCATTTGTCACTAGCTACAGTTTAAGTAGACTTAAGATGTAGTTTTATGGAGAGAGCACTATGATATTCCAGTCCAGACGTCACAAAACCATGGATCACTGTGGGAAGGCCCACATCTGAAAGAAAATGCTGCCATGCTTAAATGCTAAAACACATCGCTGCTACTGGGATACCCAGAAGCACAACTCCCCACAATTCTGCCATTTCTTCCTCTTGATCCCCATCATGCTACCTTAACTACATTCTAGTCTAGGATTGTGTTGAAACTGTGTCGCCCCCAGCCAAACACAGTACAAGCCAAGCATAACAGATCAGGTTCCCTTGCACTATTAGGACAGACCAATCAAATAGGTCTCAACATCATCGGTGGCTCGTATTGACAAAAGTATAACTTCCATACCTCCCATTTCTAGTCCTATCCCAAAGACAAAGATCAGGGTGGCCCAGCTGTCTGGATTGAGTTAGTTAACCTGCACCATAGTTAACATCATTGCTGTGAAATCCTGACACTATCCAAGGGACTATGAACACTAAAGTAGCATAGAACATTCCTTCCAGGGATTCCAAGGCCACTACAGTGAGAAACAGAATCAGATCATCCAAAGATTACAGAATGCACTAGGGTGATATATAACCAATCACTTTCTAACCCCTTTTGTGATTTCACACATCAGGTGGACTATCAGGTCCACTTTTATCAAGGGAGACCTCCTGAATTATTTGTCAGTGCAGTCACCTCCGCCTTTTATATTTTGGACTAAATATTATCAGCTTGTGTTTATTAATGTACCATAACTTCACTAACTATGAATTACTCTGAAGACTTTGCATTCCTGATTCTTGATGGTTTCCTAGGAAACAAACAAGACATACTGTTTTGCATGGAAAGGCAAAGTTGTCTTCAATGCTTATGTCTATGGAGTTATAATTTAGAGATGCTTCAATTCAGAGCTTCACTCAAAAATGATCCCTCTTGCTTTTATTTTATTTTATTTTTTAAAATTTATATCTATTACAGCAACTTCCCTCTGGCACCATTAAGGATGTCACCAGCATCAGGTGTTCATTTTATTATATGTCACAGTCAGTTGCCTGCCTTTCTTGCCTTTGTGTTTGTGACATGCATGTTTATAGCCAATTATACCACTATTTTACTTCCACAGTGTGCAAGAGACTTTCCTCTGCACCCATACTAAAGTACAAAAGGTTTTAGTCATGTCCTAGCCAATTGCACACTGGTCTTCTTAAAGTATGTGGAGAATGGGAGGGGGAAGGTGACAAATTTTTTCTTATACATGTTGTACAAATTAAGACTTGAAGAATGGCTTGAAATAACACAAGGACAAGCTTTGAGGTCTCTGTCCATGGGGTATACACACCATTAGAATTCAACACCAAAGTGGAGGACTTGGGGGTAAACTCAACACTGGTGGATCCAGGATACATGGATCCATAAGGCTTACATACCTGTATAGGCAGAGAACTAACTATAGAGAGTATATGACAAGCTAGGGCTATGGCAGAAACTGCAGAGCTATTCAGCTTCCACATAGTGGCCTGCGGGAAAGATTCTCCCTCCCCCCTCCCCCAACCATCCTGAGACTTTTCCTGTGCCAAGCCTTGTTATTCCAACTTGGTGTTGGGAAAAGGATTTCCCTCTAAAAAGGACTTTCAGAGGCAGCAGTCTATTGGCTAGAACAGGAGTATGTGGAGACAATTATTTTCCCCTTCTGCCTCTGAATCTGATCTCTTTGACCTGGGACAAGTTTCTTATCCTTTGGTCTCAGGTTACCCACCTGTAAAATGGAGTTTATTGTAATATATTTACAGTTCCTGAATTCTAGTGATTTTTTTTAAGGCTTAATTAATCATTGGAAAACACTGGAAATAGAAAGAGTGCTGCACACTGCTATTGTAAAGGCAAAAGATGATGAAGATAAATATCTTACTTTATCAGAATAAAAGAGGGGCATGCATCTGTTAAGCTAAACTGGCTTTGCATAAAAGGAATGGCCACAGTAGCACTGAAAAATATAGCAGTATGGGGGAGGAGGGGAGGGAATACAGGATTTGGTGGCATCCCCCACAGCTGTGGTGGTAAGAGTACTTGAGAAGTATGCCAGATACAACAGTGAAGAGGCCCCAAATTTGACATACAATATGTTAATACTCTAATAAGTAGACTTACTAGTTTTAAATATATACATGTTAAAATATAGATTGTAAATACAATTTATATTTTTTAAATATCTACATTCATATTTTGTTACTGACCTGTTCTCCCTGCACCACCGAAAGATGTCATGGCCCTTTCTCCTTCCTGTCTCCTGGGAATACACAGAGGGAGCAGTTGTGAATTGCTCTGTGTGTCCCTTCTCTCCTCACTTTGCCCTGTGCCTAGGCAAAGTGTAGTCCTTGAGCCCTCATGTACGATTCAGTTAGAATGTGGCTCTTGTTCACACACAAACACCCTCGTTTGCAGATAATACAAGTACTAGTGTGAGGGACAACTGCTCACTAAACATTAGTATGAACAAACAAACACATGATTGTTGAGCTAACAGAATAAAATGGGGTGTTGAAACAAATCACTGGCTGGAAAATTCAAACTAATATTCACAAACACTGTAGTGTAGTATTCATTCAGCCCAGTGTTTTAAGATGTTACTAACCCACCCATTAAATTTCCATGCATCTTTCTAACTTGTCTCCTTTATAAACCAGGATGGTTAGCAAAAGACTGGCTATCAGATATTTTAGCCTCTGAGGCCAGCTCCTGAAAAAAAGAGGAGCTTCAGTCCTCCTTAGCATATTCTCTCTATATTTTTAACTTAAATCTGTTCTGGATCCAAGACCAATTTAACCCTCAGCACCCAAGCTTAAGCCATAGCCAGTATCAACATATGGCATGGAGGTACATTTTGTTTTACTGAGAAAAAAAGTAGGTTTCTCGCTGGCAGCAAAGTGAACTCTAGTTATTTAACAAAGCCTGTTTCCAGAACTTCATTGGCATCATTGCCGCCATAACTGATTATGCTTTTACAAAGCAAGACAGTAAATACTCTGTCAAGCTAGGCTGTGTTCCATGAGAAACAGAGGGGAGGAGGAAGGGAAAAATCAATTTCTGAAAAATGGAAAAGGACAAAAGTGGTAGAGATTATAAAATGCTGTGTTCCAGCTTCTCTGAAAGATTACAAGTGATGGGGAATGAAAAGCAAAAATGAGAAAAAGCTTTCAAGGTAGTCCAGGTAACTAAAATTTGGTGTAAATGCACTTTTATAAATAAATGAAGCATTTGTGTTTGCTGCATTTTACACCTTCATAGCATTATGTATACATATATTTCATTTTTTAAGTGCTGGGAAGGTGAACATTTTAATTTTATATACATATATAATGTAATATAAATCATTCAGACTTAATAGTAGCCACTAAACTATGTGAGCAGTGACAGATCCATGTACTTTGAATTGCAGATGCTGTAGTTGTTATAATACAGAATCATGTACCGGTATCATGGTGACCAGCTGATGACAATCTCCCAGCTACCAAACTCTAGTGCTATATAGTGCGAACATTTCAATTATCAGCTCCTAATGGCTGAAGATTGCTATGTTCACTTTGGATCTGCACAAGCTAAGGACCCCTTTCCTGGCCAAAAGGGGAGGGTCTGCCATCTCTGCAGCACTGTTCCCACTCCTCTTGTGTGTGGTGGGGACAGCCAGAGATAGGACTGGAGGAAATGCACCTTGCACCTGAGATATCAGTGGTAAATCCTCCCAAAACATAATGCGGCTTGAGCCTGCACTAACTTTGACTGTACTTCCTGCTCCGTTAGAGAACTTGTCTTTGGAGGTGGAGTTGGGAAAAAAAACCTGGCAACATGCTACTGATGATTTGCAGGGAGAATAGAAGGCCCAAAGCTGATGGAGAAGCCTCTACGCAGATGACCTTTTGCTTTTGGTAGATCCCCTGAGATTCCCACAGCTCTGTGAGGGCTACGCAGTCCCTCCCTAATGAAATTATTAGGGGGGAAATGTTCCCGGGGTAACCTCATTGAGTGTTCTTCCCTCAAGATCCTTGGGATTTTCCATGGAAGGGGACTAGAATACCCTCTACCAAGATAATTCCTGTTTTCAACCTTCATTCAAGCTTTCACAAGTTAGATAATCTAAGTTCCTTTCTTATTCCATTGTGCTTCCATCCTTGGATGGAACATCAATAAAATAAACCTAACATTCAGAAATTCATCTCCCACAATAGCACGTCATTGAATGATCCCTATTGTAAAAATCATACTTTTCATATAGGTTAGACACTCCAGCAACAAATGAGAAAAAGCATCCCATAGGATTAAAAATATGACAAGCAAGTTTGCTTTTCTTCAAGTATATATTCTAAAACAGGGCATTCCTTAAACCCAGACTGTGGTGTTTGATTAAATACACAATTCTCTGATAGTGTGTACTTAGGAATGAATAAGTCTCTCTTCTTCTGTGCAGGAGAGAGAACACTCTGAGGTGTGCAAGTCAAAGAAGCAAACTTAGCCTAGAATGGTTATTACGAGTTTAGAGTTGAAAAATAATCATTAGAAGAATCATTTGCAATTGGCTAAAAGGAGAATGTCTGAGTTATGCCAGACCGTTCTAACTTCTATGTCTGTTAAAAGGTTGGCTTGGCTTTTCCATCATTCATTGCCTTTTTACTGAAGAATAAGATTTAACCCAGATTACCATGTGATGCATTCAGACAAAAACATAAAAGAAAACAATGTTTTTTTTTTCTTGAGCTATAGCTAGAGGAAGATTCTTGGATGGTGGATCTCCATATTAGTGAGTCTTGAAATTTCTTCTCCGTTCATCTCTCTTTTCCTGATAGGCTTCTTTGGGGGAGAAGGGAAAGAGAAAATGCATTAAGAAAAGGATTCTCAATATTTGTTTTCACTTTTGGTTTGATCTTTCCATCAAATTCTGATGCACACAAAGTGCAAGGAGAGTTTGAAAATAATGGATTGTAGCCTCAGTAAATTCACGACAAAGCAGTATAGCCATTGAAAGATATCCTGATGGGAATTAAAGTTTGCCATCCGTTTTTAAATCAGATTTGCTATTCTTTAGCACTTCCCAAACCATTCATCACTCCCACACCTTTTATGCTATGCTTTTTTCTGGACACTTTCCTCAGTTATGCTAACACCTAACATGTTCACTCATTAAGAAAATAGCACATTAAAATCTTTAAAAGTCAAACTTATGTCTCTTCTTCTTGGACATCTGGTTTTGGAAACCCCTCTTCTACATTTCTCCAGTGTCCTGCGAAAAGTGCAAAAGGATACAGGATACTGCTTATACAGTCTCTTACTATACTACAGTATAGTCAATCTCATTCTATTGCAAATCAGGGCCCATTTGTAATAGAGAAAAAATTGTCTACTCATGTGGACCACTACTACTCCCAAACACACAATCCCTTTCTCATATCAAGTGGTGTGTCTTTCATCCCCCTGTCTTCGTCCTCTGATCATATTCTTGCTAGGAACAAAACTAATCTAATTTGTTATTAAAATTCCTACACATGGAATGTTGTTAGTTTCAATTCTGATTCAGTTGAGAAGCCCTACAGGAACCAGCATTCTATCTCTTTCTTAACAGAATAGAGTTTGTATAAAGTCCCCATGTATTGGTCATGTCACAACGTAACCAAAGTATTAAAGGGATGACAGGTACATCATCTCCTTTCTACACATTCTTCCCACTACTGTGCTTGTTTTGAATTTTCTGTTTGCTTTTCTTTTGCCCCAGAGGGTTTGTGCAGCAAGTTCATCATGACCAGATGGTTCCTTGCTTTAACTTCCCAGCTCAGGATTCATTTCTGTTTTTGGTTGCTTAGGTAGTTCTTCACCTACTGCAGCTTCAAACTGGCATGGAAATGAATTGGCAGGAGCGTATATCAGTGTCATAATTCTTGTGTCTCCTACTCCTGTTGTGAAGCTTAATTTGTTAAAGTTTGTAAAGCCCCTGGGGCCAAGGTATTCAAAACTAGTGTGGCAATACAAGTTGCCCCTTTTTTCCCCTGCACCAACTACCCACTTCCTTATGAGGGAAGATTGAAAAAACTGGGTTCGTTTAGTCTGGAAAAGAAGACAGGGGGGACATGATAACAGTTTTCAAGTACATAAAAGGTTGTTGCAAGGAGGAGGGAGAAAATTGCTCTTAACTGCTGAGAATAGGTCAAGAAGCAATGGGCTTAAATTGCAGCATGGGAGATTTAGGTTGGACATGAGAAAAAACTTCCTAAGTGACAGGGTGGTTAAGCACTGGAATAAATTGCCTAGGGAGGTTGTGGAATCTCCACCATTGGAGATTTTTAAGAGCAGGTTAGACAAACACCTGCCAGGGATGGTCTAGATAATACTAAGTCCTGCCTGGAATTCAGGGGACTGGACTAGATGACTTCTCTAGGTCCCTTCCAGTCCTATAATTCTATGATCATGGGTAGTTGTGTGGTCATGGAAGCAACGCTAGAGAGTTGCTACTTCCTTCCCCCATGCAAATGGGAAGCAGGGTGAGGAAAGGGTGGAGCCTTGGCTGTGCCCCCCACCGGTGTGCTGGGAATGCATGATTTGCTGGGTATAGACCCTACTCAGTTTATTACCTCTCAGAACATCTGGGAAAGTGAGAAAGGGATCACGACTCAAAATCAGTCTCCCTTCTGCAGCTGCTCCAGGGCTAGTGTAACAGTGTGCCACCTCTATTCAGGGCAGATAGATTGTCTCACAATCTAACCATTTTTCATTATATTATCTGGATGGGAGCCCTACAAAGTAAACTCACTTGTTTGTTGCTCAAGTAGTGTTGGTGATTAGTAGTTGGAGTGCTTTCCTTTGAGACAGTACTTGCTTGATGTTAGGGGCCATATTCCATAGAGGTCCCATCTTTCAGATATCACAAACCTGAGGTTCTGACTGAGCACTTGTGAATATTAAGATCCAGTGGCACTTTCCACAGACGATATCCTGAAGCCACTACTCAGCATACTCCTACCGACAGATATCTGAGGGGCGCGCGTGCACACACACACACACACACACACACACACACAAAAGTCCACAATACCTCTGAGCACTTCCCAGGCACTTTCACAGGAATCATATTGTCTGTGATAAGCTCCACAATGCAGAAACAAGAAGGTTGTTGTAGTACAACAAAGATCGAGCCCTCTAAATGCCTGACTTTGGATAATCACTGTGCTTGCCCCAGTGGCTGGTCCCACAGCTTTGCATGTAAGAAGAGTGCATAACAGGAGTGGTAACAAAAAAAATTATTTTTTTTGGTGCAAATAGATATTCAATACCTAGTGCATTTTAGTATTAAAAATAGCTGTTTTTCAGAGTAAATTTTGTTCTAACTGTTCCTGAAAGATACTGTTTTAGAAGGGATTATTTTTTAAAAATTATAGTTGTTCTTTTCCCATGATTTTAAGAAGAGTATGTGTGGGGGTTGAGGTTTCTTCAAGAGAAATAAATGATCAGTCTCCTGATAGTAACAGAACCAATGGAGGAAAAGATTCTTTTCTGATTTGGATATATTTTTGAGATACTCTTTCGGGTTAATTATTAGGTGATAAATCAGAATTCGTAAAGGACTGAGTATGATAGAGAAGAAAGGATTTAATTAAATTAAAGAGGTTCTTTCATTCTGGGGAACACTGCCAAACATATAAGATTTTAAAACCAAACATATAGTGCTGCTCTATGGGAGTGAGATTGAAATTGTCATTTCTCCTTTCCAATCCATTTCATCCTCCCACTTATTCCATCACTGAGATCAGGATGGTGAATTTGTGATATCTTAATAATGTGTGAAGTAAGAGGTCACAAATAAAGCATTATATAAGCTGCACAAAAAAACAGAAGAGGTGGAGAAGTTGGGTATCAGAAAAAATCTTGTTCAGATACACCTCTTGGGGGGAAAAAAGCAAAACTGAGAACTGCAGAAACTAGTGAGATCTAATGTTTAGAACCTGGCTCAAAGAGCAAGGACTCATGGATTCAATTCCCAAAGTCTGCAACTGACTAGCTGTATTATTTTTAAAAAGTCATTTTCACAAGTATTGGGCCAATGGGAATTTGCCTGAATAAAAACTGAGTAGGAACCTTAGGGTTTGGTTGATAATTTGTTACTAATCCAATGCTGCAGTGCCTGTCTATAGGCAATTTTTCAAAAACTGAGCCAAACAAGGCTTCTGTACTATGTGTTTACAGTCTAACTCTGGTGGATAAAATGCTAACGTTTAAAGGATGAGGCATCAGAGAAGCTGCCAACAGAATTGCAGATCAGTATTATTACCTCTACTAATTTTTCACTAGCATACAATTCTAGTTCTAGATGCTTTCCAAATATACACGTAGGCATGATTCTTGCTCCATCCCAAACGCCACCTCTTCCTCTGTTAAAAACAATTCCACGCAGATATCTGAACTCAACCCTTGCCAAAAGCCGAAACAAATAGAAAAGCTGTGCCGTGTGCCCTGAATGTCAGCAAAATTCAGGCTATATTGGACCAAGATGAGAAATCCTAAAAACAGCCTACCAGCAGCACCACTGTTATAAGAAATGGGGGTTCCAGCTTATTGCAATTATGGCAGTATCTCTCAGGTAGGCACCATTTGCGCCTTTAAGTCAACATCAAACCTTAAACTTCACCTGGTAATTAAATGGCAGCAAGTACATACCCGCAGATGTTAACTGTTAACTGGTTAAATTGACATGATCTGTTAACTGGTGAAATTGACATGATCACTGTGTGGAAAGGTAATAAAAATTGGACTTCTATATTTTACCACTAATGTGAGCAAAAGCAAAGTTATTTCCATGATTCTGGGATTAAAGAGTGCTGATAATCATAAATATACATAAAAACACCATTTCCACCACTTAAGTGTTACAACTGTTAAAGGGAAAGCACCTCTTAGATTATGATTTTGTTATATAATAGCAAGAGAAAAAAATGTAAGTGAAATATGATCACTTCTACAGCAGGGTTGGGGGAAAAAAAGGAGGGGGTGTTTGTTTTTAAACAAACAAAATCAGACTCAGGCAAAATGGATTTTGGTGCCTGCCAGATAAACAGTAAAAATCAGCACGTGTCTTTATGATCCAGGGATCTTCTGTGTGCTAGATCAACGACTGCCAGCAGCAAGAAGGACTTGCTGCAGAGAAGTCAAGGACATCTACACCTAGAGTTCAGGCACAAATGAAGGGGTGAGATCAGGTTAATGGGGGAAATGTGTCAGGTGTTTGTGGTTTTGCCCAGATCTGGAATTCCCTTGTGCTTTCTAAGAGCAAAGCATGTGTACATTTAAGAAGTTGACTTGCTATGTCACGTGAAGAGTGCAACTAAAGAAACTGGAAGCCACCCAACCAGGTGGACTCTGGAGGAGATTAGCCTAAGCAACCTGAGGGCTTGGGAATGCCAAGGCATTGCTTTTGTGGTCTAACTGGGTGGCCAGTGCCAAGAGGAGCAATGGAGGGAGTGCACTTGAGTGACCCAGAGCTATGAACAGAGATCAGTCACTATCCAGACCTAGGGAGCTTTGCAGCCCATAGGATTCAGTGGTTGGATCCCTTTTACAATGAGCTGGTGTAGGTTGTGATACCTACTATTTCTAAATCGTTTTGCAATTTGAAATTCTGCTTGCAGTGTCTCCTTTGATTCCATTTTGTTTAACACTCAAAAAACGCATCACATCCTTAATATACTGAAGGTTGACTCACACAGCTGCATGTTGCTGCATGTACAGGAAACACTGCAGTAATCAAACAGTGCAAAGCAGGCAATAATGTAAGCCATTGATATTTCAACCCCTCTTCAATTGTTTAGAGCTTTCTATTTCCTGACTAATGAAATCTGACATCTGTTGATATGATGAAAACAGAAGATGCTAGTTTTTACCAGTTTTGTCTGTATTTTGCTGGAAAAGTTAGTTGTTCATTCTCACTGTAGGTTTGTGGCAATCATGCTTTTTATTAGTTCTTCTGGTGCTTATATACTCCTGTTTTCACAGGCAATGCAGCTGTGCTAGAGCCGATCAAACAGGTTTGCCCCACTTCTTGTTCCCTCATCATGTCTCTATTTCAGTTTCTATCTCAATAATTCCTTAGATATCAAGAGTCTCCCATTAAGCCCCATGCTCTCTGCCCCCTGCTTATCTGAGAAATATTTCTCCCCTTGGGTTCTTTTGGGAGAAAGGGCTTGTGTCTCCCTGAGGATGTCTGCCAGGCCCATTTCTCCCACTCAGGGTGTGAGCCAAGGTCATCCCTCTTCCTTGCTGTGGTCTCCATGTATTCCTCTCTGAAATGGGCTTGTGGAGGAGGTGACATGACACTGAGGTATCTTCTCCTAGGGATAGGTTAACAGAATGATTTGCAGCTGACATTCAGCTATTAGGGACCTGGGCTACTGGTTCCCCTCCATCTGCCAACAACAGATATAATCTAGGTTTCATAAAACCCACCTAGTGGTGCCTGTATGGCCCAGGAACATCCGTGAGAGGCTACTGACTAGGTAGGCCCACTCCTCAAGGCTACTACTGGAAGAGTAGAAGCAGCTCATTTTTTCCCAACAGCTCCCCTCCCTGACCAACAGAAGACACTCTTGCCTGCTCAGTTAAGCCTCAGGTAGATTGCATGAGAAGAAAGGATCTTTAGGTTAGAGGAAACAACTAACTTCCATCTAGGTACTCTATGGAAGAAAGGTGATGATAGAACCTTTCCTAGAGATCTATCTACCCAGGAGGTGTCAGAGAATACTTACTATACACACAAAGCAGTGGAATTTATACACAAATGCTGTAAAATGCATACATTTCATAGAAAAAAGATTATTTTTCCCTCTAATCCCTTTCACTTAGTCAAGTTTTAGTTATAGCTTGTTGTAATATTAACTGTTACTTTTAACAATATTTATAGAGAAGAGTGATTTTTATGTTGGTGGTGCCCATGAAGTATTATCTAGTATTCACAGACAGGGGGAAATGGTATCATTATATAAATACAATTAAAACCTCATTGGAAGATGTCCTGCACTCACTGTTCCCCTGACTAATTGCATGAACACTATTGTAAGACTTTACCATAAATCTCTAACCGATAACTCTTTGCACCAGTTTGTATTCCTGCCAGTGCCAGGTAGGAGTAATGAATGTATTGTACTTAACAAGTCGTATCTCATGTCACCACGAGAATACACAGGCAGTGATTTCACATTCCTGGCTCAAATTGTACATGTGGCTTGTAAGTGTAAAGAAGTGAAATTTAACATGCAAAATTATGAACGAATATTTGTTTTGCTGTGTTGTTTTTCATAAATTTGAGTGTTGATAATCTTATTCAGCCAATAGCTTGGTTCTAAATGGCAACATTATTTCCAACAACAGTAGAGTTAGTCATGAGTAGGGACACTTAGTGCCATTTTATGTCAGTTTTGCAAGAGGAGCGGTTGCCCAGTACGAACAAAGCTGAGGTCACAAAACTCACTGTGTTAGACATTCAAAGCGGTTAACAAGGACTCTGCATTGCAACTCAAAGCTGAGCCCACAACTATCACTTTGAAACATCCCCCACTGACAGGTCAGGGTGGATCAGGCCTCCAGAGACAAAAAGCAAGAGCACTGAATCACTGTGCCTCCTATTAACAAGTATTGGTAGGAGACTAGTCTGAGGAAGCTGTGCAAAACATTTTTTAAAAAACCCAATAACCCTGGGTAACCTGGAGTCAGGTAAGTTTCTTTTGCTTTCTGGATTTGTTACTAACTCAAAACCCAAATCAGAGATTTGCTGAAAGGCTTCAGGCAAGTCTAGACCAAATTTCAAGTGAACTTGGTGCAAGATTAAAGTGAATCAGGCAATTTATATTTAGGGTAGGAACCAGGCCACACAAACCTGTGTGAACCAAGGGCCTAATCCAAAATCCAAGGGCCTAATCCAAAATCCACTTAAGTCAGTGGGACTCTATTAACCTCAACTGGCTTTGGATCAAGCCACAAAATGCAACATTTCACTGAGTTCTACTATTCGATTCTGAATGTTCACACAGGATCAGATTCTTGTTGAAATGGTTTTACTAATATCTGAAATATTTAAAACTTTTGTAGCACTTGTTCATTTCCAGACAAGAATCCTGCAGGTTAAATGCTCAAAAATATAACTTAGATTCATATCTAAAGTTGGTAAAATTTCATTACAAAAAGTTACTCCATTGTTAGAGCTACTATTATTGAGATGAGAGATAAAACTAATGTCACATTAAGTGGCACGGTGCCAGCGTTCATGCTTGAATGAGAAATAATTCAAAGCATCTATAATGTTAGTAGCTTTGTGTGACTGCAAAAGCCACTCCATCCACAGATATGTAATTTATACAGCACTTTCCAAAGTGCCTTGACTTGCACTGAATGGTATAAATGCTCTTATGTGCCAATATAATGGAAACCTTCAAGAAGGGTATTTATTTTTGAATTATCAGGATTTTTAAGTGTTCTCTGAATGCCAGCCCCCATGATAAACTAAAAAATAATATCATCATTCATTAGTTACCTTTCTCTCTCACAAATACAGCACTTTGTTACTTTAGCTCTGCAGCTTCAATATATTTGTGCTTCTTTATGTGCCTACTTTACAGTCTGAGCATGCTTTCCTGGAGCACTGATGGGTTCTAGATGGTTTGTGCTGTTCCAATTACTGAGTTTCCCCCACCCTCATCTGGAGAATCAACCAGGAAAGATCTTATTGATCAATACAAGGTCAGTCATCAGCTAAAGCATCCTCACCCACAATCTGATATTGTATAAGGCACCTGATGTCGCTGCATCAGTGGGACTTGGCTGGAGATTCTGCTCGCTCTGTGCTATCATCCCTCACCCCTTACAATTTACCCAGTAAAAGCAAGAGTGCAGGAAGGAAGGTGGGGGAGGTCACAGTGTAGAGACAATCTCCTTGAAAAGCATTCTCTTGGGGAATGGTCAAGATCAGTGTCGGAATGTTTCTGGTATATAGCAACCTCTCCACAGCTCCAGTGAATTCATGCCAGAGCAAACATCTGCTGTCTGACACAAGGGATTCCCATATTAGTTTAGTCCCTGGACTAATGTGTACAATGAATTAATCTGAATGGGGGTCTGAAACATTTGATCGCTCTTTCCTCCTCTCCTTTATTTTCTCCCTTGCCATCTGCAACTCTGTGCTCTCCAAGGGAACCTTAAAATGACTACTTTTCCAGGATATCCTTCAGAGATTCATATTTTCCTCTACCTCTGCCTGTTGGAGTTCGAGGTTCTGGTCTGTATCACCTCGTCTTCTACCTCAGTACTTTACCAGCAACCTTATTTGTCAACTAGTACCTGTGTGCAGCTAAGAGAAGAGAAGTAGATTTGGGAATTAAGTTTTATCAGTATGTCCAATCCAGATCCATTCCTGTCTCATACATTTCCTCTTGTATATCCCCAACACCTTCTGAAACTCAAGTCTCTTTAAAGCTGAGTGAATCAAACAAACTTCAATGGAGCTGTACCAGTTTACACCAGCAGAAAATCTGTCTTATCTTTCATGCTTATCTCTCTGCTAATATAGATCAGTCCTGACTTCTAGTGTCCTTACTTCTTCCATCACCAGATCTTTCTTGAGCAGAGGCTGCTAGTAGCATATTGTGTCAGAGTATTTTTAGCAAGAATAAGTGTCCAATGGGGAGAAAGGTCTCTAGGCTAAGCACAATACTGAATATTGGTGTGCAAATTAACAATTAAATGTCTCAAAATTCCTCAGTTCCACATCTAGAAATAGTTCTGTTATGGTCAGAGCAGAACCATACCGTAGTGTATAACCACAGTGATGATACAAAAGGCCTAAAATTCTGTATTGTGAACACTGACGCAATGGCAGCACTTGATCTCAGACCATGTCTGGATCTTAAACGGATCACCAGTAAACCTGCTTTGCCTTACTCTCTCCATCTGAAAATGATGAATTTAGGAGCAGCTGCTGCCTACAGGTTACCCGCCCCCCCCCCAAGCAAATAAAACCTGACGTGGTACCAAGGCATGACAGTTATCATAGATCTGTCTTCCTCTTCTCTCACGTTGCTTTTTGTTTTTGTGTAGCTGAACTACAGTTGCGTTTAGGTGGTCTTTAGCTCCCTTCAAATAATCTCTGCCTGGATTTGTAGAATTGGTCCATTGTTCAGTTGAGTTTACAGCACTTTAGTTTACATATTTTGTCACTGAAATGGACCTTATTCTCCATAGCAAATCGGTGGCACCTCATTCTGGAAAAGCCTTTTTTTCCCCTGCTGGCACTGAAGTAGCATAAAGTTATATTAGCTAATATTCAGGTCTGTGAACAAGCCTAACGTATTAGTGCTTTGGCTGTCTATCAACAATATGGAACAAGTGAAAACTGATGGTTTTGGATCAGGGCAGCAGTTGAAGTCTACTGCTGCTGAACTATTAACTATTTTATATTTTGGTTGGGGAAGATGTTAGACAGGACCTCATTTTAACATCTATTCATTCAGCTGCTTCTGTGCATTTCTTCATGGTGTGATACACACCATGTTAACATACAGGATATAATATTAAATATTGACTCTGAAAAAATGAAATTTCCTCCTACCTATCTCCCTGGGAATTCCAATTAACTGGCCCCTCAAAAAATAACCACAAAAGTTTTCAGCCAAACAACGGAGAAATAAATGCTCTAGCAAGCATTTTCTTACTAAAATGCCTGTAAAATTGGGCTCTCACCTAAGAAGTAAATAAATCTCCAACACTTACTGAAGTGCTGTGCCTATTCAGTACATTGAATACTTTAGAAGTGTGTGAACATTCATGCTAATAACTAGTCAGTTCCGTCACCATCTAGTTATGCATTTAAAGTTTGTGTGAAATCTCTTAAGCAAACCACAATGAGGTATAGAACCACAAGTTACTGACTCCTAATGAATGGACTAACTAGGCTTTTCATATCCCAACTGAAAAATATTCCCCCCAGTCAGAGTTTCAAAAAGAGTGCCACATTTCCTTACACCTTGCTCCTAAATTAACCGAAGAGACAGCTTTGTGAAGCCAAAATCAGAGCCCATCAAATGAGACCTTTGCTAGCTAGCTAGCTAGCTTGCGCTCGCGCTCTCGCTCTCTCTCTCTCTAAGATCTGACTTCTACCATGACAAACAAGCATCTCAAACCACATCCCCTTATATTGTACTGGGAGGAATTGGCCAATTTACTACAGCTGGACACAACTATATTTCCCTGGTAGGAAGGCTCAGCCCCTGCCTGCCTTTAAGGTCATGCAGCTGTGCTCTTTCCTCTGCAAAGGGAAAGATTTTTAACACTTTTTTTTCCAAGTACTGAACAGTCTACACCTCCTCACAGATTCTGACTGTTAAAATAACACAAAAGCAGTGCAAAGGCATTTTTTTAACTGAAAATTTACCCCCAACCAATATGACCCAAAGCCAAGCAAACTGGTTCTACTAAGAAATTACTCAAAAATGTCAGGCAACAAATATGGAAGTTTTTGCACAGCTCTACTCAAAAAGCTGACCCCCTATAGAGGAAACATTAATGTTCTGATCTTGCAAATGCTTGTACATGTGTTTAACTTTGCACATATGAGCAGCTCCATTGAGGCCAAGGGGACTACTAACATGAGTAAAGTTAAGCTTGTATGTAAGTGTTTGCAACAATGGAACCTAAATGAAGTGCAGAATAAGAAGAAATAATCCAAGGATATTCCTAGAACCACTGCTGTGGCTGCTAGTATGGAATCAAGAAAGATCCAGAAGACTACCCTTGGCATAATTCAGATCCACAAGGGGCTCCCCAGTTCAATGTCTGGTGATGCAAAATCTAGTTGGAATTTACAAGTTCTTTTGAAGATGCTTCTTTGAAATTACAATGGCACACTGTGCTACACTTAGTCCAAGAGACAGCTGTAGGATAGACTTTTCCCAGTATACTTGTCAGGCTGTAGCTACTGGGTTAAAAGCAAGAGTTTGCCCTTTATGAGGGTTTTTGCAGCCAGCTTCTGGCTGGCTGCCAATGACAAATAGCCATTGCATGGGGAAAGCATAAAAAGTTAGAGTAAATATTTTAAAATGGCATCCTTGAATAAAGTTTGTAAAATGAAGCATAATATTCCAAGGGAACACAGTGCATGTTTGATGTTGGGAAAGGATTTATCAGCTGCGGTTTCTGTTACATTTGAACTGAAGAATAATAAACTTACCTTCAAATAGCTTCCCTTGAAATAATGAAAAACCTCATCACTTTAGTAACTTGGGGAATCCCAAACCTATGTAACTATCTCTGATAAATATTCAGATTTTGCATGGGGATAGATAAATATTCAGATTTTGCATGGGGATAATTAACACTGCAAGTAAGTGCTTTAGTTACTATATGTAAATGAATTCCCTTCACTGAATTTATTTCAAACTCTATTAATAAGACTTTCAAATGAATTTCAATTAAAGAGGCAACCATAATTAAATAACGTTAAACAATTATAAATTACTGGAAAACATGCAAAAGTCCAATTGCAGCACAACTCATATGAATTATTTGTATCACTCTATAAATTAGTTGGTATGGTGTCTTTATTGTTAGCTGTGTATCAGTTTTATGAAATAGTCTTCTGGATACCTGAATTTTTACTATATAGATTGACCGAAAGGCTTTCTATTGCTCATGACCGGAGGGTTCCTGTTGCAAAGGATTAGGTCCAACAAAATCTGATCACCATGGATTGAAAAAATGGTGGGTGAGATACTATGAACTCATGTATCAATGTTTGTTTGTCTATGCAGCACAGTCTTTTAGTCTAAAACAAAGAGACATTTCTAAGATGCTTCTGAGACATTCAAACAGCTCTGTATATAGGAAACAAAGGAGCAACTGAAACACAAGGAGTCATGTTCAGAACAAGAATAATACAACAGAATAATTTAAATCTGATCTTTTATGTTTTGAGAAAAGCAAGGTTGAATGAGCTATGGCAAAGGAAGTAAAGAGTAAGATCCTAATTCAGGAAAGCACTTAAATTCATGCCTAACTTTAAGCTTAAAGTACCACTTTAAGCACTTAAATACATGCTTAAATATAAGTGGAGCTCCTCAGACTGTGTAAATTGTCATAGTTCCACTGCAATTAATACACACAGTGAAGTCAATGAATCTGACAATTTACACCAACTAAGAATCAGCCTCTGAGTGCTTTGCAGAATCAGGGCTTACAAGAACAAGGGAACAGCAGAGCCCCAGACAAGTGATTCTAACAGGAGTTATGTGAACACATATCTGGGATCATTGCGTCCCTTATTTCGCAAAAAAGAGGTGTGGAAGTTTTATAGACTAAGGCCTGGTCTACGCCACAAAGTCAGGTTGATGTAAGTTGCCTTGCATTGATCTATTTGGGCATATGTCTACACTCAAATTTGTCTCAGGCGGACGTTAGCACCCTGTTAACAGTGACACAGTACAACCATCTCCCTAAACAGCATAGAGCCATGGTTAACATACTGAGGTTGATGCAATGAGAGTGTAGACATCGCATGATCTATGTCAACCCTAACAGTCCCCCAGCAGCTGTTCCACCATCACCCATTCCCTGCAACAGTGACCACTCTGGTGGCAATTGTAAACTTTCCTGCACATGGGTAACAGAACCTAGAAGCCATCTCACTCTTTCACATGCATACTGTGAGTGTTTTTGAAATTCCTTTTCCTGATTGCCACACCTAGCTGCTC